TAAATCGTGTACAATCAGAGAGGGTGGTGTTTTTTTTTTATTGGTTGAGAGGGGTTGTTTTTGTTTTTTATTGCTTGGGTGGATTGTTTTTGTTTTTTGTTGGTGGGGGGGGTAATTTTGTTTTTATTCGTTGTGGGACTGTTTTTGGTTGGTGGTGAGGGGGGGAGAGAAGGGTTGTTTTGCATTCTTGGGTGAGCGACAGGGACCAGGGCGTTGGGTGGGGTTGCTTTTGTCAGTTAGAGGCAGATTGCTGTTGACACATATGTTTGTTTGTCTTTTTGTTTTTTGCTGGGGGGGGGTAGGCGAAGGGAGGTTTCGCTTCTTTTTTTGTTACTTGTTTAAATGGGTGATTTTCTTTGTATTGTTTGTTTTGGGATGCTGTCCATGCAACTTTGAACCTTTCTGAGAGACCGGCATTTAGGCTTTCTTAGGGGAAACATGAAAACAATGGCTCAATTCTGGAGTATTTTATAATCATACATACTTCTCAATGGAAACCTACTTACTACGTTATAAATTCTTCAATTCATGATGGGAGGAATTCCGTAATGAGCGACCATTAGGAAATAGATAAAGAGTACAGAATTGAGGGTTTATGGTTAGGGTTCAGGCTAGAGTTAGGAAGATAGTTAGGGTTTGGGTTAGGGGTGAGGCTAGGGTTAGGGCGATAAAGGTAGGGTTTGGGTTAGGGTTTGGGCTTGGGTTAGGGATTGGGTTAGGGTTAGGGTTAGGGTTAGGTCAGAGGTAGGGTTAGGGTCACGGGTAAGGTCAGGGTTCGGTTCAGGGTTAGGATTAGGTCTCTTCTTTATCGTGCTTATTGGGGTGGTTGCTCGTTACGGTAATCCTTATAACTAGATCTATACATGCATCGCAATGGAAACATACTACACCGCGTTACGAATTCTTAAATCCATAATAATGAAAACCTGGTTCCGTCATGTTTTGAGAAATTTTGAATGCCTCCTCGGTGTACATTTTGAAGCGTAGAGAGAGTGCAGTCTCTCCTATAAAATGAAACAAATTTCGGTGCAACCAAAATTATATATGTGTAGAGAGAGAGACAGACACAGAGAGAGAGAGAGAGAGAGAGAGAGAGAGAGAGAGAGAGAACATGTGATGAGAAACAAGAAGGATTCAATCAAGTGATAAATATACTTCCCGAAACAGCAGATAGCAGGTTGTAGCGTTCGTACACAAAGATTTATGTCTCCAGAGGGAGGGAGAGAGAGAGAGAGAGAGAG